GTTCTAGTCTTCTGCAGCCGTTCTCATGATCAGGAGCAGGCATTTGGCATGAGCCCTTTGTTAAATGCTGTGTAGGGCAGCTGAGAATGGACGTGTTACAAAACAATGTGCCAACCCTAATGCAGAGAATGATGTGTGGGCACAGGACTCGCGACCACAGAACCCCCCTGTTCCAGTCGCACTCCAGCACCAACTCACCCTGTGACTTGAAATGAGTCACCAGCTCCTCTGTGCATCAGAGTCCTGCTTCTATTAAAGGTTGTCAATATATGCTCAAGAGATCTGGGTAGATGGCCATGCCTCCAGCTGCAGAGGAAGCAATCCTCCCTCCCCCCCCAGTCCGTACCAATCTTACCATACTGGTTTGTCATAACAGATTGGTTATTTCCATTTCTCAGCCCCTTAAAGCAAAAATGACCCAACCCTCAGGCATCCAGACCCTTCCTCCACAAAGCTGTGGCTTTAAATTTTCACTGCTGCCTCAGAAGGCTCAGCATTTGGTATCCAGGTTCCAGTATTTTGGGTGGATATTGAAATACCCAAGTTGACTTTGAAAAAAATCCTAGCCTAGGGTGAAACATAGCCTAGGATGGTCTTTACAGTGAGTCCGAATGACCAACGGATTTGGACTATATTGTACTCTGAGGAAAGATTTGCAAGTTAAGGGTTATTTGAATTGATTAGTTAATACCTGCAAAGTGCCGTGAATACATTAAAGTGCTAGGCATTCTTCTTATTTTAGAACTACATTACTGCTCAGCTCCCTCCTCTTACCTGCTAAAAATGCCAGGGGGAAACTACATGGGCTAGTGAGAGTTATCACTAGTGCAGTAGTGATCTTCAGTGCTGGGTGTGCCTTTCCAGTGCTGCTTCCATCATTGTTGCGGTGTCACAAACAAGCTGGACTGCTTGAAAACGAGACGGCTCAAGCGCGCACACAGCTGTTTAATTTCCGTCCTGTAGATGGCACTCGCTGATCCTTCTTCAAGCTGTGCTGCTTTGTACAGAACTAATATTCCCAAGCGTTAGAACGGTAACTCGGTCCTGTTTGCACAGCTCCTCTTCATTGGCGGACTCCTGTTGGGTTTAATTACACTCACACTTGTTGGTCAGCCCGGTACCCACTGGGCCCCCTATTAATGACGTGGCCTCCGGGTTTGATGGCATTTTGCAGATATCGTCGATGGGAACCTGAAATCTATCATGAGGCTGATCCTGGCCTTAGCGGCTCATTTCAAACCTGGCTCAGGGAGAGCGGTCAATCAGAGCCCGTCTGGCGTGGCAGGGAAGAACCCGTCAGCATCATCAGCCAGCCACAGGCCTCATTCAGCTGCTGCCATGGCCCAAGGGGCAGTGGCTGCTCTGGCAGATGTTCGCCAGGATGTCTCACGCTCTGGACGTGATGTTTTCCGGCACAGACAGAGGTAATAAGCTGCTCTCACCTAGCCTCATTAGCACACACTGCGAGTCTTGGTGTGAGACTCAGCTGTATAAGAAGAATACAAGGGGCCGAAACAAACCTGTGCGCCTCTGGAAGCCAGCCTGCTCTGTGCAGTAGTCCTGCACAAGGAGCCTACCTGCTCTGCAGAGCCATGCTGAGCCAGCACGCACCCCTGGCTATGTCTTCCCTGCCAGAAAAGGTGTTTCTGCCTGGACTACCCAAAGTGCGTGAGCTGTCCCGCTGTCCCTCTAGAGTGGCCATGTGGAAGCTTGCACTGTCATTTTGCAGTCAGATGAGCTAGAGGAGCTACCCAAAAGGGCAGGGGTAGGGATCTCAGCCAGCTACCTTGCTGCAAAAGCTGTAGGTGCCTTGTTTCTGCTTGGGATTTTACAGCAAGTAAACACCCATGCCTTTGGTATCTCACTTTACAATGAAAAGCACCTCTGTGTCCACGAGGACAGAGTGACGTCTCCTTCCCTTGAGGGCAGTATTGAACACAGTGCCACAACACAGCACCAGGAGGCATTGCCCTTTGGATGAAACATAAAACAAGGGTCCTGCTCATTGGTGTTAGCTGAAGATGCCAGGGCAGGGTGGTAACTCCCCTCTCTGAGTCCATTCTGCCTCCCTACATTTTTGTTGCCTTTTGAGCATTTTGCTTCCTGTCACAGATGTCATACAGTCTCTCTGGATGCTGTCCATCAGCTTCTGCCTCCTACGTTGTAGGGTTTGTCTTAGTGAAAATGAAAGGAAATGATCTATATGTGGATGGAGCGTGTAATTCTGAAAGTGCTTCTGAGCCTCAAAATATGCTATGTAGATTACAATGATGGCAGCAATAATAAAAATAGTAATGACATTTAAACTGAAGCCAGATGATGGTTTATTGTGATTTTCATTTGTACTCCTAAAGGTCATTTGCCCTCATTAGTTTGGCTCTGGGGAGTCGCCAAGAATCAGTTCTGAAATGAGGTTGAAAATTACAGGTTTTGTTGAGAAATCAAATATTAGAGCTTTTCTTCCAAGGGCCCCTGGGCCAAATCTCTCTCTTTAAGAAAGCCAGCCCTTACTTTATTAGCTGAAGCTGTCCTTTCCCCAGCCCCCTCCCTGCCTCACCAAAGCCATCATTGGTCACTGCTATTTGGAGGTGTTTAAAACGTGCCACCTTCTTCCTTTCCCTGCCATGTCACAGGCAGATGGGCAGGATTTTCTTATCCCAGGTCAAGCTTTGAGGGTAGGAATTAGATTGCTTCTCTTCTAGAAAAGGCAGTAGATTTGCGGCCACCGCCTCTTTCCCTTCATTTCACCAGCTCCCCTTCTGCCCTCCCAAAGCCCCCAAATGCACCTTGTTCGGTTCTGAGCAGAAATTAAATACGTATGTGTGTTGTGGGGGGTCTCTTTCCCACCTCCCCTTGAGGCTGTCATTTATTCTGTGTTTTTTATCTTCAGAAACAGCAGTGTAGATGAAGAAATTGAGAAACCCTACTGGAGTGTCCGAGCACTGGTGCAGCAGTATGAGGGACATCACAGTGTGCCCTCCGAGTCCTGCTCCTCCAGGTAACAGATATGCTCATGGCAGAGACAAGCCCCCTCACAGCCCAGTGCCAGGCAGGGACCACCTCTGCCTGTCTCACAGATGTAGCCCTGGCAAATTTTGAGAGTAAAGAAAGTTTCACCTGCCTGGATTTTCCCAGGTTTTCTACCCACTGATGCCTTCTGTCTGTGTAACAGATGGTCAGGAGAAAGGGGCTCTGACTACTAAACCCAGCAAGCCTGATGCCCTGGGAAGGGACCAGTGGTAATAGAAACGAGTAAAAGATAAATGCTTTATTCTGTGATTCAGACCTTGCAGAGAGCTGGGATCTACAGCTGTGTTCACTGCCATTGTGCTCTCATCCATCACCTTTAATTGTCTTTAGCTTTATAGCTATCTAATTATCCCCCACCCCCAAGCCTCCTGGACCTTCAGGTTCAATCAGGTTCAATATTTAATCATTTTCTGAAGAGTTCCCAGCACTCTTCTGGAGATCAGTAGAGGCGGAGTTCATTGTGGTCTCTACAGCAAGTGGCTTTGCCATCTAAAGCGAGAGTTGAGTCCAGAGAAATCCACATGATCTGCTATAAATAGCTTGCAGATTTGGCTGGAGGCTGGCTACAACTCACAAGGTATGTGATGTTGAGCAGGGCTATTCTCTGCTTGGAAACCTGGAAGGAAACGAGTTTGGGAGGAAATGGTGCAGCTCCCTGTGCTGAGGTCTGAACACATTTACCCTAAAGCTGCAATGGGTACATGTCGGAGCAGGGAGCTTCAGCAACAAGCACTAGCGAGAACAAATTACTTTACTGTTTCACGTGCACAACTGACTCACGCTCACTTCAGAGCCTTGCTCTTAATCTATGGATGAGGACCTGGCTTTGTCAGGGGCCTGCTCATTCATAGCCCATGACTCTGAGCCATGCATGCTCCACTGAGCCTCCTCGTAGGACTTTGCCACTAGTGGGAGAGAGCTGACCACATGCGGCTGGGTCTGCACTAGGGCATGAGGCTGTGCCCAGCAATAAGGCTTAGAAACAAAGAGCTGTATCCTTGAGCACGTACGTTCAGATTTTCCCCCAGCGGTGCTCTATTCCATGCTGGTTTTCCTGCCCGAGTCATGCTCAGGACACCCCCCTGCAATGCCTTCAGGTGCCCTTTCCCTGCCCCTTATGCCAAGTGGCTGTGGAGACCTGGGAGAGGAGGTGGTGACTTTTCTTAGAACAGACCTCCATCAGCAGAGCACATCCCCTCACAAGGGGTTTCTCCCTTGGTCTTCTCTGGCCGCTGTTAAGGCCACATTGCACCTCTGTAGCACAAGGTGGCAACTGTGGACCTGTGACTGACTCCATCCCCATGTGATCCAGGGACATGCAGAGGGAGCCCAGTAGTGCTGGCCTCAAGTGTCTTTGGGACTTTGCTGGCCAAACCTTTCTGTAGGTGAAACATAAAGCCGCAGTCCTGACTGCATGTGCACGTTTCACAGGAGCTGAGGTGTTAATCCTTTGCATCCTGGCCAGATTATAGTTTGGGAAGAGATTTTGCCTCCCTCCGTCGTCTCTGCAGTTTGATGTAGTTAGGTTATTGTTCCCATGCTGTCCTACACGTCTGCTGCAGAGCTGCTGGGTGCCCTACGGTGGCTGCATTTTTGTAATGAGTGAATTGATTTCTGTACATACTTTGCAAAGTGCTTTGTGATGCTTCACCATGCAAGGAGCTCTACTAGCATGAAGTGAGGGATATTGCTACCAGGAAGCGATGTCACTGAGCACCTCATACGTTAGGTAAGTTCAGCAATTATGTTCTGGACAATCTATAGAAACACAACTGAAGACCAAAATGTGTGTCATGTTAATTGGGTTGCATTTGAATGAAGTTCATTGCTTTGATGATAAGCATACATTTGAAATGTTTTAAATAATTTCATTTTCAGGGATAGACTAGCAGAGGTGCAGTGGGTCAGGACTGAAGCACAAGAGCTGATCAGCTTGTAGACACATGGCTGGATAGCAGGGACTGCAGCCTGCTGGGGCTGAAGTGTGGCAGCTGATCAGAGCTGGAAGAGCAGGCTTTGCTGCTGTTCAGGAGAGCAGCGCCTTTCCTGAAGTGCATGGGAGTCCAGGGCTGGAATGGCACGGGGGCACTTTGAATCAGGATGGACGTGCTTTGGCCTAGGACTGACGAGCTGAAGGTGCCTGACATCAGGATTGAGGGGCGTTAGCACAATCTGTGCCATGAAAAGACCTGCTCTTCAAATAGGTTACTGAATGCCAACTTTTCCCTGGTTGAATTAAAGACCTTTGACCTGTCCAGGCTCATTTGGGTTCTTTGCCCTCTGCCTTGCTTCCTCCATGTCTCTGCCTATGGATCAGTGGCAGGAGAGCGCTCATAGCATTTGCAGGGCACCCAGCATGTGTGTTTCCTCATCCTGCAGACCGAGGGGCAGCAACAGCCACTGACAGCTCAATGGGAAACAATCTGAAATTGTATCAAGCTGGAGCTAAAACATGTTTTAATTAAAGCTGGAAACAGGCTGGGAGGTATAATTAGATTTCAGTCAAAATGCCTGGAGGACAGACCTTTCCCTGCCCACGACCATGGCTCCATGCACACGAACACGATGGTCAGATACCACGTGGCATGCATCAGCAGCCAGGCCCCGGGGACAGGCCGAGAGGGGAGGGTGAGGGGCAGGCTTCTGTCAGTGTTTTCAAAGGGCAAAGCCATGGCGTTGAAGGCTGTGCAAGGGAGCAGACATGGTAATGCTATTGATTTTTGCATGGAAGGACCCAGCTGGGGAACAGATCCCGGCTGCCAGGCAGAGGGCTGCTTTTCTGTAGCCTCCAGCAGTGCCAGATACAGAACTAGTTGTCTGTGAGCAGGGAGGGAGCAGATTGAGGGTACTGTGGAAGAAGGCATCTGATGCCACTAGCCAAAGGCACAGCGACTGCAGACACAGAGGTTGGCTGTTTAATTGCAGCAGCAGTTGCCAAGTCAGGAAGGATTTATTCATAGCAGGACTCATCAGAAATCAGGAGAAGCTTGTTCCTGTGATAAGACACCAGCCTCTGCCTGGTGTCTTCAGAGAGAGAAAACTCAGCTCCGCTTTGAGGTCAGCTATGAGAAGAGCGCTCTCGAAAGTGTGTGGGACAGGCAGTGCTGCCTGGGTGATGTCAGGCTGCGGTGGTGTTAGTGCCGAGGTGGGAAGTGCCAAGAATAACCCTTGGCCGCATCCTTCCCCCAGCACATTGCATTTGAAGCAGGGCTGTTTTCTAAGAAAGCAGGGAGCTGGAAACTTGTTTGTTCCCATTTCTGGTTCTCTTCCAGGGTCTGGACAGCAGCTAAGTTATAGGCGGGTTCGCTAGAGGTGGATTCCCTGTGGTATCTTGGGCAAGTCGCCACCCTTCTCCGCTCCAGTCCCCCCAGTTTGTGAAATGGGGAGAGCGATCCCAGCTTGCCTCGTGGTGGGGGTTGTGAGCCTGAACTCATCAGCATTAGTGAAGTGCTTTGAGATGGTCAGGTGGAAGGTGACGGAGACAGGCAGAGGATCGCCGCTCCTGCTGCCTTGTTCAGTCTCAGGCTCTCTTTCCAGGACTCAGTGTCACCCTGCCTCGTGCGATCGTGCTGGAGACAGGGTCCCTTTGTCACTGCAGAGCCATCAGCCTGTTTGTTTATAAGGTGAAGTCTTATTTGGAAAATCAGGAGCTGTCGCAGACAAAGCCAGGGGCAGGCTGTGCTCCTGCTACAGGTGCTGTGCCACCAGCCACTTGGATGAAAGCACCACTGCAAAACCAGATGCCAGCTTCCTCTGTCCAGAGGAAGCAATGTGAGCATGTGTGACTGAGAACTGCCTGCAAAGATCACCTTGCATTATTTAATAGGAAAGAGGATGTGTTTTGTAATGGGAAGACTACCCCCTCCCCTCTCGTCCTGCTGCAGTCTGTCCCAGGGTAGCGTCCCTGCCTACCATCAGCATGTAGTACATTCATTTCCCCACGGAGCCAGCACACTTTCCCCGTCTCAGTATTTCCAGGAAGGAATGTTCCCAGAAGAAAAAGCAGTGGGAATGATTCACGGAGAACTTGCCAAAATCCTACTGATTCCCAGGCCACAAAGCCCCTCATCCATCCCTCCTCCCATCTCCTCCCTTCCCACCAGCCTTCCCTCCCCCACCCTGAGCTAGACAGCACAGAGAATAGACTCTGCCTTGCACAGCCCGTGTGACAGCAGGAGGGAGAGGGAGCTGGAGACCGAGGAAGGAAGCCACACGCAGGACCGGGAAGCACTGCACACTGCTGACAGAGAGGCTCTGAGGCTGGAGGAGCAGAGAGCCGCCGGGCCCGGGAACAGCCATCCCCGGCTGGCACCGGGTCTCTGCAGCAGGTGCTGGGAGAATGGGATGAGAAACGCAACTTGCAATCCTGAGCAAGGCTCTGGCGATGAACGCAGCTGAGGCAGGCAGCAGAACAACATGCAGCGGCGGGAGACGGACAACCTGCGTGGAAAACCAGCCAGACCGAGACCCGGGCTCCAGCCGTCTCTTGCTCCGGAGTCGAATGCATGTGTGCCGGCTGCCCGTTCAGCATTGCGTGGCTCCTCACAGAGCCCCTGAGCCTTTCCTCTTGTGAATCTCTGGGCTCACATGAGGGAGCGCGGCTGGCAGAGATCTCTCCTTTAGTTTGACAGGAGCCGGCATCCTCAGCACTGGACTCCAAGCATGTGAAGGGATCGAGGCATGCCTGTGGCCAGGACCCGCAGAATTTGGAGGCGTCCTGGGAAACGGACTCTGTGAGGCGAAAGGTTAAAGTGGGATCATGGGAGGGAAGCAGGTCAAATGGTGAGCGATTGTGTTGCCGTTGTCGTTTGGCACAGCAGGGCCGGGGAGTTTATTAACACCGTCAAGGGATTGGGGCTCGTTACAGCGGCTGTTTCCTTAAGCCCTGGCTGTGTGCAGGATCCCGAAGCAGGGATTCGTCAAGGCAAGGTTTTTAGCTAAGCTGCCGCGCGGCGCTAGGAAGAATGCTGAGTAGTTTTCTGCAGCATAAACCTTGCCTTGATCGATTTGTGCATGCTGTAGTGGTGAATGGTGGCGTATCCTTTTACAGCAGAAATCAAACCCAGGCACGTCCGTCCGTGGTGATTTCCCACGCTAACCACTTTGGGAATTGGGGCAAAAATCGCAGGAATTTCTCCAGCTGCAGCCAGTTGGTGGAACCGGGGAAAGGGGTGGCCTTTAGCCTGTGCCGCTGCTTCAGGAGCAGTTGCCTGGGTCTCAGTGGCTCACTCGCTCCTGGCGTGGTTTGATAGGCTGTCACTGGAGAGGTGACACTTGAACCCAAGAGACGGAAACGTATTCCTGACCCAAAAAGCCCCGACTCTCTTAGATGCAGCCAAACTGCCCAGAAATGGGAATGGAAATGTCTGTAGGGAAACCCAAATTGCTGTTGTTAAAACCCCGTGGCAGATGCTGCGGGGAATCTCAAATGCTGCCTTGGCTGTGTTGGATCTACCCGAAAGCTTTGCTTTGGGCAGCGGATCAGGTTCAGAGAGGAGCAGCCTGGGCAGAAACGTGCCATTTTCTGTATCCTGCTCTTTGCCACGTGGCCCATCCTTTCCCCATGCCGCCTCCCTAGGTCTGCCCCATGTTCCTCTCTGCTTCCTTCTTGCTGGGTAGACATCCTCTGAAGCAACAGATGCTCATGTTGTTTTCTGCAGCTGCTTCCTCCTGTGTTTCCCCCTGGGCAGAAACAACCCGCAAATCCATCCCTGGTGACCACAGAGGGATGGTGGCTTGCCTGGGGAGCATTTGGGGCTTCAGCTGAGCATGTGCAGAGGGAACATCAGTGGCTGCTCCTTAAAGAAAGACAGCATTGCTGGGTGTGTTAGGGAAGTCAGTCTGGCTCCGTGCGCCTCTGATTTCCATGCCCTCCCTTGCCTCTTCCCATTACCCGTGTCCCCAGCACCCCACCCCTCAGTGCACTGGACTCTTGGCAATATTCTGTGTTTTTCTGCCGTCAGCTCACTTCAGCTTCCATGGTTTGTTATCAATGAAGAGCCCCATATAAGAGTAATCTCATGGGGAGCACTGCAGTGAGATTTGCCTTCCTTAAGGTAAACCTCTGGGCACAGCCAGGTTGCTTGGGTCCCTTGAAGAGATCTGCAGGCAGTGCAAGTGGAAAAAATGCTGCAGCTGCCTGTATCATCCTAGTCAAAAATGGTTACTCTCTTCACTTAGTGACTCACACTCATTTTTTTTTCTTGCTGCAGTGGAGGCCTATTTAGTTGAATAACATAAAACAGATGGGGGATAGTCTTGCAGTGGCCCTTGGGGGCAGACTAGATGTGAGCTGCTAACAGGTCATTTCCATCTCTCTTTCTGGGAGTCTTTGATTTTATTAGTGATGCACATGGCCCTGAGCTGAGGCCTTCCAGCTGTGGGAGCTAATCAGCAGTGCTGGGAAGATGGGGCAGGCAAGCTGGAGAAGTGCCTTTTCTTTCTGTAAATCTCTTCTGTTGTTTTCCCTTTTTTGTTCTCTCCCGCTTTTGTGTCTGTCCTGGGGAGAATGAAAAATTAACTCCTGCTCACACTCGTGAGGATTAGTGCTCGGAGACTTTGGAGGTACATTAAATGGGTCAGTGAGCTTCAGACACCTTTGCTGTTGTCTGGGTGATGGATTTGGGAAGAATTTCTGAAAAGAGCTGGAGAGGCTGGACCGCACAATCAGCTGAGACTGTTGCACTAGAAGTATGTAGCTACTTTATAGGTGCTTTAAAGGAAGCTCCCAAGTTGCTGTTTCAGACAGGTTTCTGGTTATCACAGATGCCTGACCATTGGGATTTCAGACGTGTTCCCCATGCTAGATTTGTGCTTTTTAAGAAGGGTGAGAGACAAAGAAAGCTGGGTTACTGCGAATGACTTTTGCAGCACAAGGAGAAGACAGACAATACGTACTGTTTGTGAGCAGAGCTGCAGTCTGAAGTATTGTCTGGAATTAGCTCCCTGACTTCGGGGTCTGTGTTAATCCTGCAGAGGTTATGGCTCTCATTTCCATGCTCTTCCATTGCAGGAAAAGTGAAAAGACTAATTGCTTCAGCAGCGCTTTTGTCAGCTGCTGGCATTCAAGGAGACTGGCCTGAAAAGTTACAAGCCCTGTCTGGCTTGCTAATGAATTCATTGGCATGTGGGCGATGCTCAGCGCGAGCAGACTTTTCACACGTTCACTCCTTATCGCAGACAGGGATGAGCTTGCCCCTCTTCCCCTGCCATTTTCACCGTTGGCACCAGGTATAACCATTTCTCTTCTTCTCTGCAGTCTCACATCGCCCAGCCCTCTCCATAGCTCCAAGAGTGAGTCCGTTGCAACCCAGGCAGAGGAGAAGGCCGGCTTTGTGATTATCCAAGCTGAAGAAACAGAAACCAAAACAGGTAAATCACAGGGGATCCATTTCATCCTTCCTGACGGGCTAAGTGGCGTGGATTAGTTCCCATGCAAAGTGAATGACAACATCATCCTTATGTCAAACTGTTGTACAACAAAGTCCACAATTCCCAGGGAAATATTGAATCCACCTGCACTTGTCATACACACAAGGCAGAAAATGAGCCTGTGTTAGTGATGGCCTGGATTTGTGCTACTGGAGCACAAAACTGCCTCAAGCGATGACCAGTGGCTTTTGCAGGGCATGGGATGGCTGCATGAATATTGCCTGTTGTTACTGATATCAATCATCTCGTGTTCACCAGGCCCCTGTGTCCCCAAACCTGGTTTTGTTTCATTTCAGTCTCAAAAGGAATTGCCTGCTATGGGGGGGACTTCAGTTGTATGTTAATTCACAGCCTGTGGGAAATGCAACAAAACTTACTTTCCTTCCCTGAGTGTGCTATAGCAGGGTCTCTTTCCAATCATCCTCCACCCCCCAGGCTGAAGGACTGGAAATCCTTCATGGCCCCGGCCAGGAACCCCCTTCCTCATTGCTCTTTATCCCAAAACAGTGTATTCTTGAGTGTTTGAGACGCTGCGGTACCTGGCAGCCTGTGACGTGTCACTGTTGTTCTCAACAGCAGTGAGTCCATTCCCCAGTCACATGGCAGAGTGTTTTTGTCACCTGGCTATAGATCCAGTTGCATCTTTGATTAAGTATGCAACATGCCTACAAGGATAGCTAGCCCTCATCTTAGCATCACTCCTTAAGGACTAAATCTAAATTCTCAAGCCCCCCAGAGCTATGCCATTAGCTCGCATAGGCTATCTCATCTGTGACAGGTTTATTTATTTATTTATTTTTGTTATGTTCTAGTTAAAAAAAAAAAATCCCATTGATTCCTTAATTTAAAATCCAGGCCAGGGATGAGCTGCAGGGATGCATCTGAATACAAATAAAAGAACATCAGGAAAGCAAGGAGAGGCATTTTGGGATCAGGTGTGCAGTCAGATGTTTAGTAATCAGTGAAATGCAGGTTAATGGCTCTCTGGAATGTGCTTTCATTCCTGCGTGGATGTTTTGGAGGGCACGTAGCAGGAGACCAATGCCTAGATAGCACAGCGATGGATGTGTGGATGGATGTATCAGGCAGTGTAATGAACTGACTCGCTGGAAGTGTCTCTGTAGGAAAAGGTTTCACACAGCACATTACTACGGACCCGGTTTTGTGTATGTTGTGCTGAGCAGCGACCGGCTCCCGAAGTAGCCCCATTAGTTTTGTAGAGTAAATTACTGTGCAGCCTGGGTAAGGCTGCCAGAGCCAGGCCTTGCATCAATTGGCAGAGTACAGGTGCTCCTGTCTGGAGCATGTTAGCTTATTCAGGAACAGGCCAGAAAGGCTCCTAATGAACTTGCCTTGTGTGCATTTCTCAACTAGAGCGCGAGGCATCAGTATGGGTAAAAGTGGTGAATTCTCCCTGCTGACACCTGGAGTGTTTTGGTGTGTGGAACAGAAGCCGGTGTGGCTCTGGAATTTCTGTGAAAACCCAGGTTTTAGCAACTGGATCGAGAGTGTCTTAATAGCAAGAAGTGCTGAAATGATGGACAAGCTGCCATCAGAGGTCCCAAGGGCCTGACCCAAAGCCCAGGAGGATCTTTCTGTTGAAGTTGGTGGGTTTAAGCTCAGATGGTCAGGGCTTGTTGAAGGAGATACCTCCTCCTACACTAGGAGGTCTCAGACTCCCCCAGTCCCTCGACTCCCTCTGTCAGGCCTGACACTGATCTCTGAATAAACACCTGCACCTGCACGCTCCAGCTCACCTGAAAGTCCTGACGCTGGGAGCACTGTCAAGGCTTATAAAAGATGGAAAATCTCTCCAGCTGTCTATCATAGGTGGGCACATCCAGAGACATCCTTTGCAGGATGAATGAGGTGTTGAACCCTGAGCTCGGAGGGATCAGAGGTCCTTCTCTCCCAGCAACTACTTTGACACCACCTGGAAGAGAGTCTGGTTCCTGCCACTGGTGTCTGAGCGTGGCAAGACGGCTGTAGGCTGCCCCTCTCTTTCTGGGACTCCTTTCGTGTTCACTGGCATAACTTACAGCTGTTCTGTCTTGCAGAAGAGCCAGACTCTCCATTTCCACCTGAGTGGCAGGCAGGGAACCCTGGATCCTGTCTGGAGACGTCATGGGAAGAGCAGCTGCTCGAGCAACAAGAGCATTTGGAAAAGGAAATGGAGGAGGCTAAGAAAATGATCTCAGGGCTGCAGGTACTTGCTCTTCCTTTCAGCCAAGCCATCTTCTGCTTTCCTTTCATGCTGGTGTTTTATTGCAAGCCTTGGCAGGGGGGAAGGGTAATCTTTTGATGGAGGACTCCAGAAGCTGGGGTTCAATTCTTTGCTCGGCCATAGACCTGTGGGGGGGTCTTGGGCAGATCAGTCACTCCCACCGTGTTGTCTATCAAGTGCAGGGGGATACTAGTCCAAGGGACGCACTGTGGGATAAATTGAGTAATGTGAGTCCCCTGTGGTGTGGTGGGGTGCACGGAAGTGCCTGAGTAGATAAGAGTGTGGTCGTTTCAGCTAGTCAAGACGGTGCTCTTACGCTAGAGCTCCCACTCCTTGCCCCAGCACTGGCAGGGAGTTTCTTTCACTCTCCTTCATTAATTGGTTCTTTGTGGCCCAACAAGTTTGCCACTTTGCAAAGTCCTTGGCTAAGGTGATGGGGAACAACAGTACATGCCCTTCCCAGACTCCTGGGGGGGGCAGGGAGGGCTTGTCTCCAGGATCTCAAGTCATGCAGACACTTGACTCTTTGAAAGGGCCATTTACAAGGTTCCTCAGGCTTTTCTCGGTGGGGTGGTTCATGGAGGGCTGGTGTGAAAGGTGTGAGGGCTAGGAGGGGCTGAGGCAGGGCATGGAAATGTGTGCGTGGCAGGCAGAAGAACACACACCTTATTGATTTCTAGCACATGTTCCCATGGGGGCTGCTTGCATGTTGTAACCAAGAGAGCTACATCCAGGGCTTGCCACCAGCTATTCCAGTGATAGCGATTCAGATGGACTGGGAGAGGCAGGGTATGTTACATGCACCCAGCCACGGATCTCATCCTGACCGAGCCTATGCCTAGTACCTGATTATCAGCCCCATTGTTGTCTTTTGGGGACAGGCTGGTATTTAGCTGTATTATGATGGTGTGGTAACACATAAAAATGTCAGTGCTGTGGAAAGCATGGACGTCACTCTGAAAAGGAGCAAGATTCACTGCTGGGATCCCTGCTTCTTGCCAGGGCCCTCCAGTTTCGGTAGTAGCCTTGGAGGACTGAACAGCCTTGCTGTGATTTGTGATCAGAAGTAATGCAGAGAGACAAGGAGTGGAAGGAAATCAATAGCGATTCACAGAGGTGATCAGGGAGCAAAAAGGCTCAAATCCGTCTCATTTCAGTAAGCCAGGCGGGGCTGTGCAATTTGGCCCTTTCTGGACGGGCTCGTTTCAATCAAATTTGTCTGCTGGGACCTTTCTTTAGCTGCCCCATCCTGGTGCCTCCACAGTCCAATGACTCCCTCCATGTGTTTGTGTGGCTCTGTTTGGGGAGCAGACCCCCGGCCCCATATGGTAACGACCCTGAACGCTCCCTGGAAGATGCCTTTCTGTTTGCGCTGAGAACCGGTCTGGCTTTGAGTTGTAAATATTTATGTGCGGGTAAACAAAGCCCACATTGTGTGAACAGCGCAGGCAGCCAGGAGGGCGCGCTCCCAGCTGACAATGGGCAGGAGACACAAAGGACTCCAAAAGAAAATAGATGCTTGATGCACTGGTGAAATCCAGTTGTATAATGTGCCCTCTGCGAGAAGGGGGAGGCAGCATTAGAGAGGCTGGCATGGCCCCCACCGCCCCATCGCAGGAGCAGGCAGCTGGCATTGCTGCCCCCTCATCCCCAAGGAACAGAGGAGGCAGCTGACATTGCTAACCAGGAAATTGGATTTGATTAATTGATTTTCCCCCTTGCTCAATATTTAAAAGCCTCCGGATTGCAAGGGGTTGATTGAAGTTCCGGGGCCCTGCGTGTTCCATTCGGAGCCAAGACCACAGCAGTTTTCTGTGTGATTCCTGCCCAAGTGTCCTGCTGGGCACACCGTGGGACATCTGCATTCAGTGGATACACAGGGCCGTCAGTTCACTATTCAGTGCTGTCCACAGTCCTCTGGTGGGAAAACCCGTCGGCAGGCAGAACCTGACCCGAGCCCACAGCCTGGGGTGAAGGGGAACGCTCCTGCAAACCGGACTTGAGCTTGCAGCCACAGAGCGGGGACAGATCCTGGCAGAAAAGGAAGGGGCTCGTTTCTCCCTGCAGCCCCTGCCTGAACTCCGTGGGCTCTGCTGTGAATCCGTGCCCTGTCAGAGAGGAGAGGGGCTCTGAGCACATCCTGCACGGGGCAGATCAGCACTGTGACCTGTTCACACCTCCTGTCCCCGCTGCAGCGTGTTCCCTCCTCAGGACCGGCCAGCTGAGTTTTACACAGGTTCTTCCTTGTTTGCAGGTGCACGAGCATCTGTCTGGATATGCTGGAAAGGTTAATCACATGCTGCTCCCCGGTGTGTAGGTGCCTTCCCCATGCTCAGCAGCAGAGCTTAAGATGCTCCTTCTCTGTGATGAGGACCCTCCCTCCCCCTCAACATGACATCTTGCACAGCATTTCTACAGCCCTCTCTGCATCTTGCCCAGAGCGGTGCAGAATTCCAGTCCTGGCTCTAGGACTGTGGTTGGAGCTGGTTTGCGCAAGGGGAATGGTCTGTGCCAGGCTGTGGTTCTGCCAAAACTCCTGTTTTTAAAGGTATTGAGGCACCTGAGTCCTGTTGGGATCAGTGGGAGCTAGGCATAAAACTAGGGTCGTTTGGGTCAGCTCCCTGCACCTGGACAGGATGTGCTATTCCAAAAAGGCCCACATCTAAATCCCTTTAAAAAGCCTGGGATTGCATCACTATCATGCTCCCTGGAAAGGCACAGGAAGCAAAAATGCCTTGATTCCACTTTCATGGTGACTCCTTTCCACACCAATGGGGAAAGCTACTGAAAGCCACTAATAATGGATCCACTTCCGCGTGTAGGCACAGGTGAGCTAGCAGGTGTTAACAGCAGGGCATTTTTGGAACAAGCATATCTGAGGCTTGGTGTTCTGCTTTCCAGCACTTTTGCAAAGTGGGATGCCCAGCACTAAGAAGCCTGGGTTGGTTTTTAAAAGTCTAATTTTTAAATTGGTTGGTTTTTAAATTGGTTGGTTTTTAAAAGACATATTTAAAAGACAGCTGGGCTGGACTCATTTGAGTCCCGTTTCTCTTTTTGGGGTTTTTTGTTGTTCTCCTGCCCTGGTGGGGGGTCGGGCTAGAAGATCTACTAGGTCCCTTCCGACCCTTAATCTATGAATCTATGAATCTATGAATTTATTGGGTAGACAAGGTTCTTTGGGTGAATCTGATATCTTTTATATTTATTGGGAACACTTCAAACTAGTCCCCAGAAGAAAAGTCTCTTGTGGCACATCTCTGCTGGGCCTTCAGCATCTCGCCTCCAGCTTTCACACACGTTGGCTGTCCCTCAGGGACGACATTGTGCGGCTCATAATAAAACCCAGCGCAAGCTCGAATCATAAAAATTGCCAAGGTGCTGCCCATGCTTGGTGCAGCTTGTCTGCATGGTGTTGGGACACTCTCACCAACAGCGGGGATCTCTTCATGGGGACAGTCTGGTGTCTTCTGCTTCTTCCAGAAAATCCCAAGGCTTTTGTAGTGCTAAGTTAGAAGAAATGATAGAAAAAATTGTTTCCAGGCTGTTAATTTTGGCCTGGTGTGAAATGCTGCCAGCCAAAGCTGTGGAGAGGGATTGAATTTCTCCCTGTGCCCTCCCACAATATCACCTGACAGGGGGTCCTTTGTTGTTGCTCAGGCTTTGCTGCTCAATGGGTCTTTACCTGAGGACGAGCAAGAGGCATCCTTTGTCCTTTGTGAACATGGAGCCTGCCCAGAGGAGCAGCTGGTAAGCACGGGCTTGTACCTTACAATCCATTTTCAGTCAGCTCTGTGCACCGCCCAGCCAGACAGGGTAATCATTGCAGTTTTTTTGCTTTCAGGTTATAATCCGAAGTCGGCTGGACCAGAGCATGGAGGAAAATCAAGACTTGAAGGTGAGCAGGAGTCAGGCATGGGCAGATGGCATGGTGGCCAGGCTGGGGGTGACACTTCTGTCTGCATCTTGCAGCTTTCTTGTTCTGGAGGTGGCGACACTCCTCTCCAGTGCTATTCCCAGTGCTGCTGTTGTGCAGGGGGAGTGTGGGGAAGGGGGAGTGTTGTCACTGCTCTCTGCCTCAGGTTAGATCAGCCATTCAAACAGAAAAAAGTGGGAGGACACCTGCCTGCCAGGGGCTGTGAGAACAAATGAATTGGCTTTGCAAAATGCTTTGAGATTCTCAGATGGGGAGAACCCTTCATTACTGTGATGGTTAAGCACTGAGTTGTTGAACTGTCATTTTGCAAACCCTCCTGTTGTAACACAGCCTAGGGTGAAGCCTGGTGCATGTTCCCTCTCCCAGTTTGCTTCCCAGCAATGCTGTGAACCTCACTCTCCATAAAAACAAATAGCCAGAAAATATTTGAATTGAATTGAGCCCTGAGGAGACCCCTGTGTGCTCATGGTGCCAAAGACTTTCTCTTGAGAGCCTTGTGCTCCATTTCCAAAACTTTATCCAGGGCAATTGTTATATTTCTGGCCATGTCTGAATGGAAGCAGGCTTTCGAGTGGAAGATAAAAGCAGCTGAGAAGAGCTCTTCCTGTGTCAAGCTGGTCTTACTTGCGCACTGTGCTGAAGTTGGCTCTGGGCCCAGCACTAACACTGCAAGAGTTGTTGCTGCCCTGAGGAGAAGACTTGGGGGATTCACAGCTTTTCTCATGTGCTGTTTGATATAAAGAGCTTAGGGGGCTGCTCTGCCTTAGATTCATTGCAATGGGCTGGAGTCTGATGTGCTTCTGGATCCACGGGAGAAGGTGGAGTTTGCATTATTCCAGCAGGGGTGTCCAGCGGTCCAGTGCATGTTCCCGGAGGGGTATTGTGATGCTGATTTAATCAGATTGTGTTGGATTTGCAGAAGGAGCTGCTGAAATACAAACAAGAAGCTCGAAACCTCCAGGGAATAAAGGTGAGAGGAGAGAAGATGAATCGTGGTTTCCAAAGTAAAACTGAGGAGCCTGTCACAGTGCAGAAGGAGAGGAGTAGGGGCAACATTATACCTCTCTGTCTCTTTCAGGCACTGGGGAGGGCTCAGGAAATGAGAAGAAGCACTGCTGTGTTGGCAGAGCTGACTGGCTTCCTCAAGAGAAATACCACAACCGCCCAGGGTGGTTTTCCCACTGGCAGGGGAAAACCATGAACATGGCAGGGGCAGTACCCTGACTGATGTAATGCAATTAAAATGGCGCTGTGTAGTGGAGGGTGCTCTACACAGTGGACAGAACTCCTTATGAGAGCTTCATAGTTAAACTCCCACTTTGACACCAAGTGGGGGGATCTTGGCTACACGCTGACTTTATGGAAATGGGAGTAGCTTGCTCCTGCAGCCATATGGCTGAGGGCAAGTGAAACTCGGGGGCATCCGAACCCCAAGCCTCTGGGCTTGGACTTGCATGTAGGATGCCTGCCAAAGGATTTGGAAGCACCTGAAGCCCCAGGCGGGGGTGGAGGATGCGTGCTGGTAGCAGGGCCACATACGGTTCTTGCATGACTCACGGATTTGGAATTGATTTGCCTGATTTGACTTGGGACACGAAGAATTTTCCATTAAAAACAAAACAAAACAAAACAAAACAAAACAAACTCCTGATATTTGCTCTCCATGGCCTGGGCAGCTTTTTGACATGTCTGACTTCCTGCATGTGCAGCATTTCCCTCTAATATATGAGTACTTTACTAATCTGCTTCTGAGCATGAGGTATTTTTAGAAGTGCCCATCACACCGTGTGTGTGTGCATGTGCATGTGCATCCCTCTGTCCAAGATGGAGCTTTTAGCTTCTCAGTAACATGAAGTGAAAGGTGCAGAGAATAGCCGTGACTTAGGCAGGGATCCTGGCTGCTTGGAGATGCACACTGGCAGGATTTGCATTGTCAGATGATACCAGATGGAAGCTCAGCTTTCTTAGAGTGAAGCCCTTGTGCCCTTGACTGACATTTACCTGTTTCTCCCCCACGGATGGGGCAGGCAGCCGGCGAGGGCAGGAGCTCTGGGTCACCATTAAGCACCTTCACATGCACAGGTGCTGCTTCCACTCGGGTATCTTGGCAGCGTCTTTTAAGCGGGAGCTCAGGCAGAGGCACAGCGTCTCTCTCCAGCTCTGACAGCTGGCTGGGGTGTTGACAGGGAATTCAGCAGCATGCAGCAGCACCGGGGAAGGTCTAACAGCTCACTTGGGCAGATGCTTTCACAGCTTCTGCTGTCGTGCGAGAGCTCACCCTGGGGCCACAGCCTGCACAATACATCCCTAGTTGGTTGGCATTTTCCCTGCTTTATCTACTAGATTCAGACCAGGGTCCCAGCCTCCACCTTGCACCTTGCTGGCACTGCACTAATGATAACACATGTGTTTTCCCAGGATGCGCTGCAGCAGAGGCTGGCTCAGCAGGATGCTTCTGTTCTTCAGCTCAAGCAGGAGCTGCTGAGAGCAAATATGGACAAGGAGGAGTTACACAACCAGAACGTGAGGCCTTTTTGCTGCTGGCAGCCACTACGGCTTGGTGCTGGAGGTGGCAGGGCCCAGAAATTGGAGGGCAGAGGCTCCCATAATCAGGGGTGGAGCTGTGGTTGCAATCTGGCCCTGGGGGCTGGGGGACAGGTGAATTAGTAATTACGGGGCTGTGTAAAGGAGCCACCGTGCCACAAGCCAAATGGCCTGCTGTCAGGCTCACTGGCCTCCCCCACTCCTCATTCCTCCTCCCCTTTCTCGAGGGCCCTCCTCACCCTCAGTCAAAGCAGGGACGAGCTGTATGAATAAGCTCCTTAATGCATTTTGTGAGGCAGCAAATGGTACATGGCAGATGGAGCTGCCACGTGTAGGTAGAGTCTGCACTGGGGAGGCAGCAGTGGCAAAGGAAGCGAGGGAGTTGCCATATTGAGGGGAACAGCCCCGTGCTGTTCATATGGAGCTCGTACTCTGTAAAGGTGCCCCACATGGCTCTGGAAAGGTTTCCTGGGACACAAAACTCACATCCACATTCTGCTTCTGCAGGTCGATCTGCAGAGGAAGGTTGAAGAGAGGAACCGGCTCTTGGGAGAATACAAAGTAAGCGAAGCTGCCTGCCCAGGTGGGGCCTCATTACCCAGTAGCTTGGAGACAAGGAGAGCCTGAAACGTTCTTCCTTTCTATTCTCCCAACCTTTGTGTCTCTGTGTGTGCTTCCTGCTTTGTCAAGCAGTGAAATACAGAGGAATAACAAGTGATATCTCTGGTATCCGTTGAGCCTGGCCTCTCGCAGCCTGAAGGACTGGGAGGGCTGGACCCCTGGGGACTCTGCCATGCCCCTAAGGGGTGTTCACAGGGTCACCGGGGTGGTGTGCATTGTATCTTGCACTGTGGAAGGCTAGCTGAGTGTGTAACCCTCAGCTGCACACCCACCACACTTCCTGTCTGCCTGTCTCATTTCATTATCCTCTGCGTCTTCTGAGAGTCCTGCCATTGTGGCTGCTGCCACAGCCCTGAGCATGATAGGTGTCTACGAAGCTCCAGCCTCTAGGGACCTGACTGACCTTTTCCAACAAGACTTAGAAACCCAAATAGAGCGTGGGGTATAAAGCAGATGGGCTCTGCCAGCCTTAACCCTTCCCTGCCCTCAGGGAAGGTGAGGGTGAGCCTTTCTCATGTTTTCCTCCACTGTGTTGCAGAAGGAGCTGGGCCAGAAGGACCGCCACTTGCAGCAGCACCAGACCAAGTTGGATGAAATGCTCCGGCAGCTCTCCGAGGCCAGCTACCAGCAGGTACAGAACCCGCATGCTTGCCTTTTGCCCTGTGCCCTGTTGGCTCAGTGCACTGACTAGTCTGCTGTCCTTGCAGGCAGATTTGGAGCGGGAGTTGGAGCACAAGGAAGCCCTGCTGGCCCAGTGCATGAAGAGAGAAGCAGAGGAGGTATGTGATGCTCTAGCCATGGGAATGCATCAGGCTCTTGGGATGATGTTCCTGGATAATGTGTAGCCTGAGTCCAATGCACTCTGTGGCAACCCAGCTCCCCTGGGCACCTGCGTTGTCCCAGACAGACCAGGCTTGACGCAGTGCTGTCATTTGAGCTCCTGGGAGACTGCTCTCTGACCAGAGCAGCTGAGCTCCAGAGCGCGCCCCAGCTGGAGCAGCTTGACCAAAGCACTCTAGAGGGAGTTCGGTTTTACTCAGCTTCCTCCACCACAGTCACAGATGGCTGAGCCCTGGGGTCTGGGAACCAGGTGTTCCTGGGTTTCAATCCTACCTCTAATGCTAACACAGTCTAATGGCTAGACCAGGGCCCATCTTCTTACCCCCATCTGCTCCTACTGACCAGTCACTGAGATAGCAGAGCTGGCCACCAGCAAGAACCATGTCTCCTTGCAGTGGACCTGAAGAGTCTTTTGGACCATGTGTCAGGTCACTTCCTATCTCTGCCTCAGTTTCCCTGTCCATAAAACAGGATTCATGAGCCTTGCCCAGATCCTGAGGTGCAGGGGTGTTCCCTAGCGAAGGAGTGTGACGTGCGGGATGTTGCTGTATCCTTGCTTTCCGCCCTCTTGCAGATCTGGGGTTGGCACTTCGGAGTCCCCTGCAGGAAAGTCCTGAAATGTTCAGTGCCCTGCATTATAGTTGTTTCTCCTTGCAACAGGTGATGGGCTACAGCAATCACAGCACCCAGAGCAACGGCTTTCTGCAGCCAGCAAGCAAAGTAGCTGCCCCCACAGCCCACAGAGGGGTAGGTTTTGTGGTGCGTACCTAGAGCCATCTCGGGGGCTATTCATCACCCTTCCCTGGCAGCTGCCTGCCTTGGAGGGTAGACTTCAGTGTCTGGGAGAAGCTGTCATGCCCAGAAGGAATGTGGGTTGGGAAGTAAGGATTTACCCTGAGCTCCTGGTTCGCATTTTGCCTGACTTCTGGTCTCTTGGGCAGACAAATGACCTGCAGCTGGTGCGCGATGCTCTCCGCAGCTTGCGCAACAGTTTCAGCGGTCATGACCCGCAGCATCACACCATCGACAGCCTGGAGCAGGGCATCTCCAGCCTGATGGAGAGGCTGCACCGCATGGAGATGCAGAAGAGGCAAGAGAGAAGGGTAAACACTCCCCAGTGAACTTGACATCTTCCCCACTCGGCTCTTCAAGATGTCTGCCAGGGAGACCTCCACCCCCTAGCATCTCTCTTTGACATGGGCTGCTCATGGGATGGCTCTGCTCACCAAATCTTGAAGAAGTCTGAATTGAGGCAGATGGAGGGATCCCAGGGGCCCCACCAGCCCTGCAGAAGCCATGGGTGGAGCAGATGGTGCTTCGTTACAGCACCTCATGTCTCTGGTCTCATGGCTTCTCTCTGGAGGTTAGATGTCAAGATGGGCTCCCCGTACTCCTGTGAAGTGGCCTAACCTAGTCTATTTGCTAAAGCAGGGGGCTCTGAGTCAGGACTCCTGGGCCCTGTTCCTAGCTCTCGCTGACTTGCTGCATGACCTTTGGAAAGTCCCTTCACCTCTTTGTGCCTCTGTTTCCCCTTCTGCAGGCTGTGAGGGTTAAGTGGTTAATCTCAGCAGAGCGCTGCAAAGCTGCTGAGGGCCCCAAGCTGCTCCCTGGGCTCTGTCTTGCCAGCTGGCAGGAATTTGAAGCAGACACCTGCTAACCATATAGCTACACAGGGCTTATCTGTCCTCCCCAGGAGCAGGAGCCACAGCAGGGGGGTTAATCAGCCCAGCCCATCTGTTGTTTTCTCAGTGACCTTTTAATCAGAGAGTTGGTTTCATGCCTGCAAAAAGTGTGGCGAAGCAGTGCCTTGACTCTCTAGGACTCTCCATCCCCACAGAGCTTGTTGAATCTCAGTGAAGGACCATAGATGGTGGCATGTTTTATCTCTGGACTTCAGGGGAGGCTGTAGAAAACCTGAGCTCTTCACTTCAGTTTTATACATTTTAAAGTCCTGTGGGGGGGAGAGGGGGAATCTGAGTGAGAACCTGGGGACGCTGGGGGCCTGGCTGTGTTTTGGCTGTTTGGGTTGTGCATGCGCATGCACGTGTCTGTGTGTAGGAAGAAGGTGCCTTTTCACCGAGCTACATGACAGTTCTTTCCCCCGTCAGCTCTTTCTCGGCGTCGGGAGGTCTCGGGGCCTGGCCCCCTGCCCTCACTCTCTTGGCTGTCTCCCTAGGTTCGAGGGAAGTCACCGGCAAGCAGAGCAGCCAATGAATATCGGGACTCCTGGCCTCCCAACTCCAGTGAGTGCATTTCATCCCACCCCTTCCTGGCTCAGAGGTTTTATAGACAGAGCCCACTGCCTGGACCCCCTGCAGCGAAACGGCACAGGCCAAGCCCCGCTCTGTCCCCCACTTGGTGCTGTTCTCTCCTTCCTCACTCCTTTGGCCACTTGCCTCACAGTCTATATCGGAAGGGCTAGGGAGCTGGGACCCTGTCTGCACCCTCACTGGGGGAGCCTGGTGGCCTCTGGGTGCCACCACCACCACATATGTCACCATTAATAATAGTGGTTAATAGTTCTCTTGGAATCAAGAAAAGCCTGGTGTTATCCCAGGTGATCTCAGAGTCGGCATAGACCGTGTCAGCGCCGTGCCCTCTAGCGTCTGCAATTAGCAGTGCCGGCTCCATTTCGTCTGCTCCCAGCCCTGGGGTCAGACGTGGCACTTTGAGCTGCTCAAGTGTTGATGGGGTTAGTGCTAGCTGGAGTTTGGAGCAGTCACATGTTCGAGCAGGCAGGGGCCTGGAGGACTCCCTGCCCCCCCTCCCATTCTGGGTTTCCCTCCTGCCCCTTGGGGTGTCCCCCCTGCCCTGCCCCCAGGGCCCTCTCCCCTGCCCCCCCACTCCCTCAGGTTGCTTTCGGCTGCTAGCGCTATCCTGGGGGAACAGGCAGGGAAGGAAAAATGCTTTCACCTGATGCCCACCGCTGCTGCTGACCACTCTTCTCCAGGCTGAGCCCAGCTCAGAGAGCAGTGATGACAGTGGCAGCTGGATAGGGGGGGTTTGCCTTCCCTGCCTGCTCCCCTGGGACAGCATCAGCAGCCAAAAATAAGCTGGGAGGGGAGCAGGGGCAGTGAGTGGGGATTTGGGGTGCAGGAGGGTGGGACTGGCAGGCCCATTCTGGGGGAGCAGGGGGGCAGTCGGCCAATCAGGGTTGATGGAGGATGGGGGGACAGGGCACATGGTAGGGTGCAGTGGGCCTGATGTGGGCCAGCAAGGGAGTGGGGGCAAGTGGGGTGTTCCCACTAAGCCGTAGCCTTGAGTAGCTGCATGTCAGTATAACACCAGCTGGGAAGCAGGGATCAGAGATAATCTTAGGCTGGAGTGGCATAACTTTAAACTACCTAAAGGGTGCTTAAAACTAGTTTCATGTGTTTAGTGTGGGCTATCTAGGGGTTAAGAGCTCTGTGAGCCACTTAAAATGAATGTGTAACAAGGCCCTGAGTGGTTTAATGTATGCTGAATAATACAGGAGTTTCTCACAGTGACTTGGCCTGGCTGGAAGCAGCAGGGGTTCCCATCCCCCTTGCCTGGGGGCAGCTTGTCTGGGGTGCTGGCAGCTGTAATGTGGAAAATGTTGGTAAAGGGTGAATGCGTTGATTGGCAGAGTGACCCACAGGGGTGGGGGAGAGAAGGCGGGTCCCACCCTTTACCTGCACTACAGGGCCTGAGCCCAGGAGAGCTTCTGCAGGGGATGGAGAAGGGAGCTGGGAGCAAAGGGATTATTGATTCAAAGAGGCAGCCCCAGGTGGGTCCACTGAGGAGTCGCTGGGTTCCCTTTCCTCTTGGCGCGGAAGCTCCAGCTCCCATAGCAGCCTGTGTCATGTGTCTGGTGCTGAGAACTACACCTCTTCCCCTCCTCCCAAAGTCCCCACAGGCTCCATCCACTATCCTAAAGCAGCCAGATTATATAGGCCCCAGCAGCCCCGAGCTCGAAAGGATTTGGGTGTGCAGAGCTCAGTGATGGTGACAAGAACTTGCTAAACCAGCAGCTTTGGGATGAGTGTCCAGATCTCTGACTTGCTTGCTTTCTACCATAAAGGGCAAAACCCAGAGACACACCCTGGGGCCTTTGGGACAGACACACCTGCATTGCAGGAATGGGGAGGGCAGGGGAGCAGCCAGAGGGAGAAAAGACCAGCAGCCCACAAGGTCAAACCCCTCCTTGCTCCATGCAGCAGGCATGGGTGCAGGCTACATCTTTCTGAGCAAGTAGGGCTGAGTCAAAGGAAGTACCCAGCCTCTCCTGATGGAGGCAACGAGCAGTGACTGCTCCGATCCCCTAGCTGTGAATGTGGACAAGGAGAATGATAGCTGCCTTTTCTGTCTTCCTCCCCTCAGCACGAGCTGTAGCAGGTGGCAACATTCAGCTGGTGACTCTTCCAGAACAGGGCTGGCGGTCTCTACTCCCTACAGGAGCATTGGGCAGAGCGTCTGGGATGTAGGCTGCAATGCCTGCCCCGAGCGGGCTGAGCTCTGAGTCACCCAAGGGAGCTGCTCTAAGGAATTCCTCCAGACCAGCAGTGTTATCCTGCACCAATAACCCTACCCTGCAGCACCTTGTTTTCTTGCACAGGGAAATTGCCCACCCTTTGCAGTGAGAGGGACTCCACCAGCACTGAGTGGGTCTTTCCCAAGTCTGTCTCCTCCAGTCCTGTTCGGAGAGGATGCTGAGAACACACTGGCATGAGGGGGTGGGAGGATGCCGTGCTTTTCCCAGGCAGCAGTGACACACTCTGTGTTTCTCTGTCTGCAGAACTGCCTCACTCTCACAGCACGCCCACGATGAGCAGCAGTGCCTGCACCAAAGTGCTCTACTTCACAGATCGCTCACTCACTCCCTTTATGGTCAACATACCAAAGAGGTGAGGCCCGGCTTTCCTGTGCTGATGTGGATACTAATGGAGTTGTGAGAGAGAGACACCAATTTCCTCCATCCAGGGCAGGTTCAGCCACCAAACCACATTCCCCATCCCTTAATCTTATCTCGTTGCACAGGGGAAGCAAGGACACAAAAACAGCCCAGAATTGTGCGTTTGTCATTTTTGTCCGGAGATCCCTGAGCTGTCCCACGCCTGATGCGTGTGTATTGAGTTTGTGCATGTAAAGCCCCAGGTTTAAGAGGATTCTAGCGGGCAGCAGCCAGGCAGTTTTGCTTTAGCAGGACATAAACCATGCAATGCAGGACTCTGCCATCTGATGAAAAAGCAGCTCTTGGTGGCAGTACAAATAGGAAACAAGGGTCAGGAGGGGATTGTTTTCTGTAAATAAGAAACACCGTTCTGATCCCTGATCACATGCTTCATGCTGTTGGAGGGGTGTCCTCGTGCTGTCATCAAGTAAGTTGCTTGACAGCCAGGCACATGCTAGTGACAGTTGCATCTACACACCTGATCTTAATCCTGTGGCCCAAACTGCTGAGGAGAATAGCTTTGACTCTTATCTTGCAGGTTAGGTGAAGTGACTCTGAAGGACTTTAAGGCAGCTATTGATCGGGAAGGAACCCACCGGTACCACTTCAAAGCCCTGGATCCAGAGTTTGGCACCGTCAAGGAGGAGGTATGTGTGGCTGCGCAGCTGTGATTGTGGTTTGTATATGGGTATGCAGCTGCAGCAGTGGCTTGGCCACCCCGACACATTCAGTTCCCAAGGGAGTGAAATCTCTGACTTGCGGCAGAGCAAACTGTCATATTCCCAGAGCCACAGTTCAGGGGATTCTAGCCCCCAGGTAAGGAGCCAAAATGGGGCTCTTTGTTTCATTCAGAGTGGTGACGTGAATGTGATCACAGACGTGCCCCAATGGAGAGTAATGTACCCCATTGCAGGAACACATTTAAAGTGCATCAGGACCAGTCTCTCCAAACACAGTGCTATCTAATGCTCTGAACCCAGGGTGGGATTCAGCAGGTTCCCCAGTTTTCATACTGACCCCCCATGGGACTTTGTATCTTATTTTCACTGTTATTAACTTGGGGATAATAGCCCTTGCTTTTCCCAGTGGGGTTGAGAAGGGAAGCAGAACTGCTGCTTCTAAAGCCCTTTGGGAACATGAAGTCTTGTATAAATGCCAGGTGATGTGTTGTTCTGTGGTTTGTGTGGTGGAATATGAGCTAGGAAGAAGCACTCAGCTCATGCTTCCTTCTGTGGTGCCCCTTGCCCAGGACGAAGAGATGCTTCAGCTCTGAAATGACCAGCTCCTCTGCTTTTTCTACAGGTTTTCCATGATGATGACATCATTCCTGGGTGGGAGGGGAAAATTGTGGCCTGGGTGGAAGAAGATAATGGGGAGAATTAACTAACTCCTAGGTGGTGTTATTGTGGGCACCTGTAAGTGGCTGCTATGTCCAGATACAATGACCAAAAAGAGCGTGAGCTGGGATGCATCCAATGCAAGCTGCCAAAAGAGAGGACTTCTCTGCAAATGACGGGTAAAACAGGTTTTTGCGTGCGAGGAAGCCTGGCATCTCACTTCCCATGGCCAAATGCAGACAGTGGTGTGAGACTGAAATGACAGGTTTGTGGGAAGGAATCATCTTGCTTTGTGCTGTTGACAAAACCCTGAAGGCCTTAATGATGTGGTTCTCTCTTCCCCTGTCTCTGCATTCCCAAAATGCCTGCTGCTGTTTGACATCTGGACATGTCCACTCTGATCTCTGGCATACAGTATTACGTGAACCTGCACTCGTGGCTAAGACATGAAGCTCTGTCCTTATGAACCAGAAGATGCTGCTAGATTCGACATACCAGAGGGTATGACCAGCCAAAGCCAGTCCCAGAGCATGTGCTGAAGAGGCAGAATCCTGCCCCCCACCCAGGGAATTGCGTGGCTTCTTGCTCCAGGAACCTGGCATCCCGAGGAGGGCATCTGCTGGGCAGCACTGCCTGCGATACAAGGCAAAGACCAGCAAGGCTGCCCCTGTTCCCAAACACAGGCTTCTGCTTCCCAGACTTGCTTCTCCTGTTCTCCCTCCAACCTGTACTCGCCTCTGCGCTCGTCTGTGCTTCTTGCTTTGTTGCCCTGGGAACAAAGGTGCTTCCTTAGTGGTGATGGATTTTGTTCTGGGGGAGGGCCCAGGACCTGCCCTGGCTCTGGCACTTCTGCCTCTTCCTTCACTGCCTCCTTTTCCCTAAAGCTATCACCATTCCTGCACTTACCTTTCTCCAGCTAGGCAGACAGATCATGTCATCTACTCCCCCAGGAGACCCAGCAGGGCTGTTTCTTTCAGGACTAAGCAGTGGCGCGTTGGTGCATCCATGTGAACCTGGTGGTCACTGACTAGTTGGGCTATAAAGCAACTCACCAGTGGCAGGACAGATGTGAGCAGCAGCCCCATTCCTCTGCATGCCTTCTCCACTGGGGAGCTAGAAGCGGTTGGTTGGGAAGTCGCGCACCCCAAAGTCTCTTAGGGCTTCAGCTTTTTTCACTGCACTGCCAGACTCTGCCCTCACAAACATGTCAGGCAGCCAGACTTCTGCACAGCTGGCTGCAGCAGACGCTCCTGACTGATAAAGTCAAACAGTGAGCCAAGGCTTTGTCGGTTCACCTCTGGTACGTGGGCCTCACCCTTGGGGTGCATGCGTCTGTGTCCTGCGTGGGAGGCTGGGACATGAAGGAAACCTGGGTTTGTTGTTTTATATTAACATGTCCTTTTGTAAACTCGTTCCTGTTTTTTGGAATTATTTTGTACCAGTTTACATTGTTGTCTGAGGACTGTGTCTATTTTTATACCCGTGCAAGTACCTTCTAGATATTTCCACACTTACTGTACTGTATTTTACTCATTTTCTAGAGGACACTGAGATGTTTTACAGGCTCCTGTTAGTACTATACAGTGGGCTCCATAACTAGCTTTATTTTACTATGAAAGTCCAACTAGTCCCTAATGTTTTTGTATTTCACCAGTTGCTGTACACACAGTAACAGCATTTCATTTATCACTTCGCTCCCTCTACATATGGGACAAGCTTGGATGCCTTTCTGCTCTGCTCCCGCACTGATAGGACACGAGTCGGCTGTTAGGCCATTGTTGCTCTGTACAGTTTCGTAGGGTGATTTACACAAACTCTTTCTTGCCACAAACAGCAGTCACGTTATCAGAATTTGGGAACGTTCATTGGTAGGAGGAAAACCAGGTCTGTCCTGGAAAGGAATAGGTTCTCTTCCTCCTGCGAAATCAGCCGTTTCTCTTTTGCATGAATCTTCGTGGATTGCTATAAGACAGCATGGGGTTATTGGACTGAAATTCATTGTTGTATTTCAATTGCAATTGATCTTGAATGTCTCTTTATTCAAGTTTTACTTGACCCATTTTATTTCTGTGAGAGTTGGATGCTTAGGTAGCACTTACCTATTTTATACTGACAACAGAAACAGTAATTGTTCATAGGCCTCCATACACGGACCCTAGAAACCCTTTGCGCTGCTCAGAAATGAGCAGTGTTCAAGTCGCATTCTGAAGGACCGGATATCAGATGCGGTCAAGCCTTTCACCTGCGGTCTAGTTCAGGAGGGACCCTCCGTTACCACCCTAGCAGTGGCTGGTGGGTGCTCTAAGAGGAGAGAGTTGGGAATCTCAGTCTGGTTCCTCGTGGATGGCTGTCTAGATCACTAACAGTGGTCACAGCTGCTGTCTTTATTCCCTGTTGGCAGTCCCAAGAGAGACCTAGGGCTGAATCAGGCTGGAGACAGTTACTGTCTCGCATTCCCATCAGGACCCTTAGGGCTGGGGTAGCACAGCGAGGGGACCTCGACTGCTGCTGGTCATGCAGGTCCTGGGAGATGATTTTATTCTTTCCACCTGTCCCCCAGACAGCTTTGACATGCCTTGTCAGCTTTGATGTCTGCAACAGGTGACTTCTGAGTTCAAACCCCTTAGTTATTGGCATCCTGCTCATGGGTGACCCAAAAAATCACTGGCAGTTAGCTGTATGAAGCCAAAAGCAGACACATTAGTACTTCTGACATGGAGCCTAAAGGCTTGGATTATGCCTCGTTCTCCACCCTTACAGGGGCTGTAACATGTGTAAGTCCAGGTCATTTGGTTCCTGCAATGACTTTGCAGTTGTCTCTAGGTTTCCTATCTTTGCATGAACTGGAAGGGATCCAAGGTAGCTGGGAAACCACCCGACCTGTAGCCGTTCATAACACCATGGGCAAACAATAATAGAAATACCTGGGCCAGACTCACCCGCTACAAGACTGACTTTGGTGATTTTATTCCTGATTTAGACCAGGGTACATGGGATCCGACTCAGGCCCTTGGACCTGAATTTGAAATGTTTTCCTTTGCTTCTATGTTTATTTCTGCCCTTTCTTCAAAGCTGCTTTCTGGTTTCCTTAAGACTGTAAGTTGATTATTTAACATATGCGCTATATGTAAAGTTCTATTTTCATAGAAACTACGAAGTTTGCATTCATCGCTTTTTAAAAAGACAGTTCTTCTCAGCCTCCCTGCCCAACAGCACTGAGGACTGAGCTTTACCTGTACATCAAAGACCTCAGCCTATCTGACTTGGATGTATTCTGGATTTGTGGACCAAGAAAAAATAGTCTCAATAAACTGAAGTTTGCAAACTGAGTCTAATGAATCCTTTTGAGTGGGGGGATGTGTTTCAGGGTGTTTGTAAGCCTCCCTCAGACGCACTGGGTTGGGATCCACGAGAGCCACTTCCACCTAGTGATCCCTGGTAATGTCTCTGAGCTCCCAAATCGACCAAAAAGCCCACCTGCACAAAGATAAAGACATGGACACCGCTTTTGTCACATTAAAGAAGAGGCATTGGGTGTTGGCTACAGCCCAGGCTGGGCTGGCGAGTGGGCCAAACCCAGGCATCCTGGCCACACGATCTCGCCTCTGTGCTCAGGGTCAGACCCAGGGTGGGTTCAGGGTCAGGAAAGAATATTACCCCTTGGCCAGATCGGCCGCGTCTACGTGAGATGCTTTGCTGTGCACTGCACCTTAAAGCGTCACTGTCTGCATGTGCGAGCGCTGACTGCAGAGTAAGCTAGTCTACCGCGCAGTAAATGGACTGCTCACGTCGGCCGGTAGCCCGTTTACTGCACAGTGAAGCCGAGCAGCACTAAACAGATGTCCCACATACAACCCATGTATTGCGCAGTAAGGCCAAGCGGCACCAAATTGATGACCCACGGGCAGTCCATCTACTGCGCACTAAAGTCACCCGGCATGACCCGGCGGCGCGGCTTGCTGCGCAGCCGGCGGCCGCTCGCGAGGGGAAGCCCCGCCCCCGACGCTTTGCGGCGCGTTGCGACAGTGTCGCGCTGGTGGGGCGGGCGACGGGCGGGCGCGGAGGTCAGGGCGGGGGGATGTGGCGGGTGCTGTGCCGG